TTTCTTTTTTTCTAAAGCACTTGGCTGTTGATACAGAATGGCACAGAATTCTTTTCCCTCTGCAGCAGAGAGCACGTTTATCAACCCCCGTCTGGGTGAATGGATGTGGCAGGAGAGTTCTCCTGACTGGCAAAGGCACTTGATGGAAGCAGAGCTGCCTTAGGTTTCATCCATGATTCAGATTTGTTTACATTTTGTGAAACCTCAGGAAAGGGGGATAAAAGCTTTGGTTCAATTGAAGTCATGTTGTTAACCTTCAGTGCTAATAATTAACTCAATTATGCTGAATTAATTTGACGTAATTATTGGTGATGGCGCAAAGACAGTGGCCCAGAGAAAGTTTGAGAGACAGGAGGAACAGAAGTCTTAACAATACAAAATACCCCATAAATAGCATCTCTTTTTTTGCCAGGATGAGTCAAAGACACAAAATGAGTTCATTACAGTCATCTGGCTTCACTCAACCCTCCAAATTACCCCAATACCCAGACAAATAGCTGTGAAATCCAGCGAGTGAACTAGAATTAAAACATGCCCTGACGAATTTGACACAGCGCTCAGCACAAGTGTCTTTCCCCGTCCTATTATCTAAACAATACAGATTTAATAATATATTTAAGGGATCCACAGTGCTTTTCCTTTAACTGAAGACATTAATTAAGAGCATTTTCTTGTTGTAGTGTTGTCAGTTGGGTGTTTTTTTGATGAAGAATCTGGAGAATGCTTACAGAGTTTTTTCACTTGATCTGCAGTTTTTATCTAGTATTTTCAGACTTAATCAGTTCAAAACAAACAAACCCCAACTATAAAAACAAACATCTATCTTTCTCCTTCTCCATTTAATATTTCTGTGATTTGCTTTGAAAAAGTGTAACAGAAATGCATTCCTTGCTATGAAAATGCACACATTTTACTGAGGCACTTTAATTCTCAGGTACTAAAAAAGCGATTGGAAGAAAAAAAATCAGATGTGATTGTCTTACGTCTTGGGAAGTGGATTACACAGAAAATGACAAGTAAGAAATTCTATGGAAATTAACACTTTAAGTATCACCAGAATCTCTACAGGAGTCTCTCCTCCCTCCACTCCAGGAGGGAGCATCCCTGGACTGTTACACTGCCGCCGTGGTCCAGTCCGATGCCTCAGCCAAGGGATGCATTTACCAAAGGAAAGTCCCAGGAGACAACACCCAATATTGCAGCCAGGTCAAAGACAGGAGCCTCACACCGCCCAGGCCAGAGCTTTGTAAAAAGCCTGGGGTAAATCTTTCACTGCCTTGCTCCCATCAAGCTTCATTGTGCACATGAATTTAGCACCAGGGGTCCTTACTTTTGTGTTGTAAGAATGTAGATTACAGCGTCACTCTATGTAATGTTTTACAGTCCTGGAGGACTGTTAATATCCAACCATGAAGAGCTGGTGCCTTTCCCTGTCTTGCTTCAGTCTGAAACACTACTTGACTTACATTTGTCAGAATGCTGTAAATATACAAGCTTCTACCACATTTTTATTATCCTTGGTGACAAGAATAAAAAAATATTACCTCTAACATCAATTACTTGTGAGGAGAGTATCCAAGTGCTTAGCTGTAATAAATGAATAGTATTTTTCTAATTTGATAAGCAGGTGCTGCTCACACGCCTACAGATCACATCCGCATCCAGAGTTCTGATGATTCTCAAACACAGCTGATCTTTCAGAACTCCATTTAATTGCCATCAGGCTCTGATCAGACTCATCATTTCAAAGCAAGCTGTATTACATGCATAATTTATGCATTTGATTTCAATAGATCATTTTCTGCCCAGTTCTTAGAGGGCAGAAAATGTTTTCCATGGGGAAGCCGCTAACATTTTCTGAAGAACCAAACTGGCTTTCCTGAAGAACAATTTTTTAAAATATATTTTTGGGAATAGACTCTACATTTTAAAGTAAATTTAGTGTGATGGATTATTTGAAGTCTCCTACATTTATTTGGACAGCTACTTTAAATTTTCTCTATGCCTATTTACTACAATCTATTTAGTTCAGTTTAGTGAGCTGAGAGTTACTGCTGGAAGTAGTTAAAAGAAGGAAACTGAAGTGAATGTTGTCAGAAATGAATTTATGTCCAAGATAAGAATCAGGAATACTGCTATTGTCTCTGTATTGGAAATTGATTTGGAGGCCTGCGTTTTTCTACCGCAGTTTCTCTAGGAAAATGCCACTGAAAGCGACATTAAAGTCACTAGTTCAACTTCTTGGCTGGTGTAAATCTGCACATTTCTAGTAATTTCTATTGAACCACAAAACCTTACCTTTTCTGGCAACCTGAACAACTGGGCTCGAGTATTGTGACTGCAGCAGAGTTTCATCAGAGTAACCGAGTTGTTCCAGGCAACTATGACAGACGGACATCACCACTGCTGCAGTGCAAGAGCCTTTTAAGGGTTAATTCATGTTTCAAGATATTTTGAGTCTATAGGTTACTGTCTATTAGCACTCCAAAGGCCTACTAAGCTACTAGAATGCATTAGGCTGTACAAAGCACTAGGAAGGTGCATGCCCTGCAAGAAGCCGGAGGGAAACATGGCCAGGAACCCTTTTAGGCAGCAGAGAAGGCACAAGAGAGGACATACGTGGTGTAACATCTTTTAAAACCCCTTCACACCCATCTGACAATGCAAAGGGTGTTTGCGTAAATGAGGAGTTCATCAGCTTTTCCCTGACACCAGCCCACGCCTCCATCCAGCGCTCCCTCCTCGCACACCCCCAGCCCTGCTTTTCATTTCTGTCGTCACAGACTTGATTTTCCCTTTCATGGATTTTTGCTTGAAAAAGCATCACTGCCTCAATTGTCTATTTTCAGCCTATGTTTAAGAAAACCCTTTGGTTCCATTTGTAGCCACATCCTGTCTCTGCCTCCCCCTCTTTTTGTTCCTAAATATAAGGCTGATGCAATTTGATGTGACATGACAAAATAGCACATTTGCATCGGCAGAAACTTTCTCTCAACAGCAGTAATTAAAGGGAGTAGATGAGACATTGCTGAAATTGGTGTTTATTTAGCCTGGAAATAAAAGGCTTAAAGAGGACTTGAGAGGGATGTTCAAGTGTGTCACGAACATGAAATTCATCGATGAGTGCCTTCTTTTACATGCTTCCTTACTGAAAAAGCAAGTGGTCGTTCAAACGACGCAATCGATTTAAAGAGATTAAAAAAATAGAGATTTCTGTAGACCATATTCCTAACCAGTGAAAATCACTTATTGTGTTTCTCTGGATTACAAATAGTACCAAGACACTTGCGGTTACACTAAGACAAGGCTGTTGAATCTCTAACTTCAGAGCACAGGCCACTCGACTAGAACTGACATCTCATGGATTACAGTGAAAATTAGGTGAAAAATTAGCTTAATTTTTGATCCGAGATGAATTCATGGAAAGGTCTGATGGATGTTCCGCTGGCTACAGGATTTAAGAGACACAATATGCTTTCAAGTGAAACTTCCTGCTCTCAGGAGCATCTTCCTTCTCTTCTTGTTCACATGAAGCTATTCTTTTAAATCCATCTGCGATTGGCACTACCGCTCTGCTTAAAACTGGCAGACCACATTGGGAGCAGGCTCATTTCCATCCTAACACAGATGGCATCAAGAATAGGGCAGGCCAGAAAAAAATCAGTTTGCATATTATGCCTCAGTTTTTATGGGTCAGATTACCATTCAAAGCCATCAAAATGGCAACCCATATGTGATGTGTCTGCCATTGGAACCGAAGTGATACACCATCATAATCTTAACATGGTTGGTTAAAAAAGTTTGATTAACCATTAATTAACCTCTGATATTTAAAAGTACAAAGATATTTTCCTTTCCGACAAAATTCTGACTTTGACAAATCAAGAAAATAGCTTTGGTGAACCAAAAAGGAAAAGACATCACATCTTATTCCCTGCACAACTGTATCAGCAAGGCTCTCTTGGCAGAAGGTAGTTGAGCATCTACGCCAAATACTCGCTTAATAAGTGAGCCAGGTGCAGATGTTGGCTGTGGAATTGATTCTAACTTCTTTGTTCTACAAGCCAGGAAATTGTTCCTGCAGCTTTGGGGGAAAAAGTGGGGATATGAAGAGCTCTTCGCATGTTTTCATTGGTGCAAGAATATCAACTGTTTTAAAGACACTCTCACAGAAATAAGAAATGTGGCATTAGCAACACACATAGCTATTAATTATAGAATGAGAGGCTGTGTTGTAAGGATACTAAGGGGATACTGAAACAAGGCCAAACCCATGATGTTCCATTTCCAGCCCCTACCCACACTCTGCCTCCTGCAGCAGCCTCCCAGCCACAATCCCTGGATCCCCTGTTCTCGGGGGGACACTGCTCCAGAAGCCACATTTCTGCATGGACAGGGTTTAGCACAGGCAAGACTGCTCTGGGGAAAAGTCTATTGCACAGTAAAGACATATTTTAGGTCTCCCCCTACACTATCATGGCACCTAAAATTCAGCAAACAGTTAGGCCAAACAGCAGTCAGGGCACCTCCCATTACCAATGGGAAAATTTTTCACTCACAAATTTTATCACCCCTCCAACTTCTCCACGTGCTATTCTGGTTCAGATGCTGTACTGACACTTCAGGGTTTATTCTCAACCAGATGCAATACACACAGCAACAGCAGATTCCCTCCACCATACTGAGGTTACTAATCTGGTTTTAAGTCCCAACAGAAGTATGAAAATATTGTTTCCTTGGGTATCTTTACTGGCAATTTGCAATTAGGGTTCTGCTACTTCATTTCTCAGCATGGCTGGAATGGAGACAGGGGTGTTCCTGAATACAAAATGCTGTTAAGAAATATCTCCTGCAAACACGTACAGCCATATAACAAATCTGCACCAGCTTCATTTCAACCAATTGTTTGTGATTTGGCATTTTCACCTTTTTCCCCTGTGTTTGTTAGGAGCAAATAGGCTCCTAACAATTTCCATAAAACAAACAAAAAAATCACTTACAGCACTCAGAGCAAAGGAACTTCAATTATCTTCACAGATTAGGTCTGTCGAAGTCCAACAGTAAGCAAGAGAGACCTGCAGAGAAGAATCAATTTTCATTATCTGTTTCTCTCCAACTTGCTACTTAAAGTACCATCAATGAAGAAGTGCAGAGAAGCCCATCTGTAGCACAGTTCACCAGTATGCAGGCTTTCACCTTTTTTAACTAGTTACATTAAACGTGAATTCATAGCCTTGATATGAATAGGTTATTACTTCGAGTAATCTACTTAAAAACACTTTTTCATAAATATGCAGTACAAAAAGATACAAGTAGAGACAAATTCCAAAGCACTCAGTGGAAATTAGCATTCAGTATTTCCTGGTAAGAGTTCTGAAGGTAAGAAAGCATTTCACTACTTTAAAGAGCCACAGTTTCCAGTATTCAGAACTCTGAATGCCATAATACTTTCAGAGATTTACATATTTGTCAGAGCGCAGGACACTGCTTTGGAAACAGCATTTATCAACATTAGGCCAGCCTGGTAGCTCCTCAGTAAGATTTAAGAAGTCTTAGGCCTGGATGGTTATTGGCTTTCCATTTCCACAGCCACAGGGAATGGCATCTCATCTCAGGACACTCAAGGACCCTCCGGCAGGAGCAAAGGGAATAACTTCTGGGATAACACCTTACTTCCAGAACCGACCCTCACTTCCAAAGGGCATCTCCAAAAAGGCTGCAGAAAACTAGGAATTCCTTCCCTGAGAGTTATTATTTTAACTGAAAACAAACAATGCACAACTGAAGTAGAACGTTTTCATAGCCCTAGCAGCCAAACAGAACCTGAGAACCTTCCCTTTTACAGTATTCTTTTGAAGACACCTTAACAGCGTGTCACACCTGGCTTAGGAGTTACACCTCGGTGTAGTTTCTGAATGACTCTCCTTTGGTCCTAACTGGGCAATTCGGGCTTCTGTTTTCCACCCATCTGTCTAATCCTTTGGAGATCTGCACGAGCCTTCCCTTCCATTGCCCTGACAAACAACTGCTTTTGACCCATGAGACAGGTGACTCCAAACGAGAACCTCCTGCTCTATCGAATACCTGATTGTACAGCGAGAAAAGGAAATCAACAAACTCTTGAAAGTCAGCTCTAACTCCTTTCTTTAGAACTTGATCATAAGTTTGGTGAAGTCAAGAAAATGGATTGCTCTGCTACCCAGAGACATCTGGATCAGGTCTTATCTCAGATCATCTGGGACTTCACAGAAACGTTCAAAAACCACTTGAAACAGAAGTCCTGGAAGATAACAATGACAGGAGGATCTGAACTGATCTGTGATGCCTCTCTTTGAGAGATGCAAGTCTTTGAAAAATCTAAGGCAAAATCCTGAACTACATTTACAAACACGAAGATCAAAGAGAACTGTTGTCATGGGAGAATTACTCTTTTTTCAAGTATTAATAGTATCATAACTTGGTGACACATGATGGCTGGCAACAGCTTGAGATGTTCAGTATTTGGTATCTAATTTAGGTGCTTATGATTTCCCTCTGACGGCACATAATGACATTGGGAACGTGGGCTCCAAGAAGTCCACTGAAGCTTTCTAGCTTTGGTACCAGAACTGAAGACTGAAAGCTGCCTTCTAACACTACTTGCACCCATCCGCTGAATTTTCTTTTCTGATCAGCAGACAGGACCTCTGATATTTGCCTTGGATCAGTCCTGAAGAAAATGCCTATCATTTAGCATTGTTAATTAACATTTTGTAGATATACCTGCAGTTAGTTATCCCACTAGGACATTTATGATGCCCTTTCAGAAGCAGACTGTCCTTTGCTGTTAACATGTAGCCGATATAATAGCCAAAGAGCCATGCAATTAACTTCTCTGTAGGCTGAAATTTAAACCAGCAATTACTTCTGTAATTCACTTAGCAGAGCATCAGGCACCTTTGCTCAGAAAGCTTTCCAAATGTACTCCAAATACACCCAGCTGAGCTTTGAGAACACAGTAAACCAGTTGCTCTATTTCACTGCTTAGTGATAAACATTGCTTAAGGTCTAACTCAAATTTCTACTTCAGAAATAGAAGAGTCTTTGAAAAAAAAGTTAGCTCAAGTCAAACTTGAGGTTCCTTTACACTGCCAGACGTGTATAAAGAGCTCTGATGTAAATGTGAATTACATCCCTAACATGATTACTAGCTGGTATAAGTTAGTTAAAGCCAATAATCTCCAACTTGCTGTGCTATTTATACCAACTAAAAGCCCAGTATCTTCCCTTGCTCTTAGAGGACAAAGCTTGTCTGCACTCAATCGCTTTTAGGCATCTTATTGATGATAATATTTCTAGATGTTCCAACACCACCACCAAACAGCTGCAGCCTGGGACAGTGTTTGCGTGGTACTGTTTATTTTAGAAGATAATCTTTCGAAAAATATAAAAAAGCAAGTTCTAGTGTTCCCCTAAAACATGTTTGAGAAAATTTATATTTTGTTCTTCAATTTCTGTGTTCGTGTCTATAATTTACTTCAGTGCGCAGGCAAAAATTGAAGCCATATACACATTATTGTTACCAGGGTTGCCAATGTTTGTTGGGCGAATGATGAATCCCAGTTACATGCAACATCCCACTGCCTCTGTCTATCCCAGCGCTGCTTCCCACCCCTGTTAGAAGGGGATCAGGAGCAGAATCCACTGACATTCTCCCTTCTCCCTTCCACAGTGCGCACGGGTCAGCTTTTATTGAGAACCATTTCCATAACAATCCAACGAGACTGCTACATCATTTGTTTGCAATGAAAGAGTTAATATCTGTGACCCAAATATGGAGACCCATTTTAAACTTGCTGAAAATTGCTTTTTAATCCTAGCTCTCGAGGATTTCCTTTGAAACCATCTGCCACGCACGCTGGGTACTCTTTTTCTGTATATATGCAGGATTACTGTAATATGGATTCTTTTGTGTAACTTAATACATTTCAGCATATTAAAAAATTAGTTGAAATTTCCATTCTTCTTTGATTTCAACTGTATACCATAAAAATGACTGTAAAAGTCAAAATCAGTGACAAGTTCATAGCAAAACCAACGCCCCTATTTATTTTATTTATTGCAGTACTTACACTGCAAGTCTAATATATTTAGTCAGTCTAACACTAGATAGGATTTAAGCAAATAGTTATGAGTCATTTAACGAATATAACCTATGCACACGCTTAAAATCAAGCTCAAGCATTTTCCTGGACAGGAATGGATTTAAGCATGTGATTTCCCAAATAGAGCATAGTTTGAAGACTGGAAGACACAATTAACATCATGATAATTAGAGATCAGAAGAGATTTACAAATATTATTTCAAGTCTGTTGTTCAGGTTTTTTTCTATTTTCTTACTACGAACCTTTACGGAGTTGTATTTTTATAGTACAAATACTGAGAAGCAATAAAGCCACATTCATAAATAAACTGAATCTTAAAATTGGCACATGCAACCATATATATTTTAGCAATCATTCAAAACATAAAACAAACAAAATATATTGCTTCCTATCAGAATAATCACAGCCAGAGCTATTGAAATAGTAAACATTCGGCAACATAGATTTATAATCAATTCAGTGGATCAGCCCATAAAGTAAAAAAACCCAACAAAACCCCAACACAATTATCAATCATTTTCAATGTGGAATACTTTTTAAAAATGGTGATTTGCCTGCAAACATTCTGAGAACAGAAAATAGGGAAAATTATTAAAACTATGCAAGTCGGGTAAGGTGACACCAGCATTTCAGAAGACAGACAGGCCGTAGCCCAGGAGGTTCCTTGTTTCACAGAAACACACTTGAGAGCACCAGAGCTGCTCATGGGCTTCCTGCAGCAGCCCTCAGAGTACCCATTGGCATTATTTACAGCCAGAGCCCTAATATCTAATAAAAGTGACTGGCAATAAAAACACTCCACACCCAAACATCCCCTTCCTACCCAAAGACAGGATCCCACACCAGCAGTGTTAGATAAAATTCATATACAGGCCAGATCTACACATGCAGATGTTGGAAGAATGTGGAAGAAAAAAAACCAACAAGCAATTTATTTTGTTTCAGCAACACCAGATGTTGGAGCATCATCCTGCAGACATGTTACTTTTAATACAAAACTGCTCATAAAGTGAGTGAAGGGGTGAGGACAGAATCAATGCCTAATTACCCTGTTATTTCAGTGTTTCCATTTTAATGAGCTTCCTGTATGATTTTGTCCATTTAATTTTCCTTTTCTAATAATCATACCAAATTAGTTTTGTCTTGAACATCGGTGAAAAGAAATTTAACTGTCTAAAAAAAATAATCCTAAAATGGTTGGTAGCAGGTCCTAAAAAATATCATGTTCTACCATCGTGTAGTTCTGCACAGACCCTGAGCCATCCCCAGGACCCTGTGGCACTACTTGGGATCACACTTGGGTGACTGGAAGCAGCTCCGTGTCCTGCTACACCTGCTGATACGGCAAATGGATTGTATGAGACAGTGCTATGGCATGTGCAGACATATCAGTGCTGAAATAAACAACCAAATGCATAATAAATAGATTAAAACCACCTTTCTCTGGCTAAGGGAGGGATTAACTGAAGCCTGGTCTGCATTCCAGCTGGGGAATAACCTGCTTTCCTCCTAGATTGCATTGGCCACTCACGTTATCAATGTAGCCACAAAACCAGAGTTTTCTATGGTTCTTTCCACTTTCTTAAATTTGGTCAGTGATGTTGAGGAGCTGAAGAGACACCAGGGATATAAGCTGTGGTTACAGAGTATAAAACACAACTGATTCATGCTTAGTGCTCACCAAGTCTGTCTCATCACATACAGCACAAAATTCCTCCCCCCAAAGCCCAGGAATAAACAGAGGCACAAAGCCATGCAGTGAAGTGCAGTGACAGGGCTCCCAGGCAGCAGTGCAGCGTGTGAAGGGAAAGCACTTCATTGGTAACATCCACCTCCTCCACTGAACAACAGGAACCTAAGTAACACCAACTAATTAGCAGAAGCAATTCAGAAAAGCTTACAGGTGATAGATGGGAAAATTCTGATGCTGTCTAGATCCTTGAGGATCTGCTGAGCAGCACAGCATCACACTGCAAACACAGGGCTCTGTGTGTGTTGAACAAGAGCCATCTCTCCATCACATCCACTGGTATCCAAGGCTGACAGTGGCTTCGGAACGGGACTGTCACCTCAGACACAGCTCCCCTCGGGACCGCAAGCCCTTCCTTCCAATGCCAGACTGCTACTGTGTCACCCCAGAGTCTCATTTACAGACTATTTACATCCCACTTTCCTTTACAGTGAATTAAATTAAATATCATTAAGACCACAGAGCAAAAGAAGAGTTAGCAACAGCCTTTAGGGTGCCTGGAATTGGACTGATCCCCGTCCCAGAGCCACCGCGGTGGCAGCAGGCACTGCACACCCACAGACACACAGTGACACAGGAGCTACAAAGAGCTGTTGTACCTTCAGAGCCTGTACCTCTGGGATGACATTCTTCATCATAAGTATTTTAGAATAAATTCACTTAGCTGTGTATAACATGGCCCCTCACTGGTCCTCTGTGAAATCTGTAGGCAATTAACATCCCAAAAGGAGCTGTCTAAAGCCACCCCATATTTCCTCACGCACATGTGTAAATCCACAGGCTTTCAGTAGCTGCCATGCAAAAGATGGATTTCAAGAACAAAAATCCTCACCAAAAAAGACAAACCCTGAACAGCCATAACTGTTTACAAACCAGCTTTCTTACAACTGACTGGGCCACCAGCACCACAGAAATTAGTGATGCGTAACTAATTGATAGGAATCTCCTGAGGGGAGTATTGCTGCTGGTTATCTTCATAGGAGAAATTTAGTCCAGAAGGATAAATTGGACGGACAGCTGAAAAGCTTTAGCTCTCCTAGTAGGAAAGGAATTGATCTGGTAAAGAAAACCCTTAAAGGGATATTACCATGTCAAAAAGCAGGATTACAAAAAACATTAATGGTCTTAAAACAACTGAGAGACCTTAGAAAACTTTGCGTTTCTATCAGTAATGCTAATTATTGCCACCAGTTATTTCCACCTTCACATAAAAGGGGAAAATGGTGAAAAATTGAAGACATCAATACTTCTCCTAGTTAAAATTATGATGTGAATATAATTAAGGAACTGTTTGCTATAAAAGTCCATGTTCTTCAATTAGTGATTTCATTTTTGCATCTAATACTTCTACTTATCAATTCCCCTTCCACTGAGTCCAAGAAAAATAAAAGTATTCAGATATTCACAGACCTGCAGAAGATTCTTTTCATGTTTCTCGCAAAATGTTGTATCGGACTTTCCCTGATTAATTTTACTGCCCGCTCCTATACAAATTACTCAATTCCATAAGCAAGACAGGTACTCCACTCGTTAAATTATTTATAATGTAAAGCATAAAAGCAGTTAATATGTATGTTACATGTGAGGCAAGCATTTTTTTGCTCCCAAGTGCACATAACGCAAGATTTATTTTCTTCAAAAACATCTGATTTCAAAAAAAGGATTATGCAAAGCAGCAGCAGAGCTAATGAATTCTCAAAACGTACCTCACATGGAGTATTGCTTAATCTGCACAATTTGTCTGAAGGAAGTGAAAGTTTCCTGGACTTCAGAAAGAGAGCACTGCGATATATTGAGAGCAGAGACAGCAGATGTTATGGCCAAGCAGCTCCTGCTCTATCTGCTCCTGTGTCCTGCTGCTGAGGCTGAACATTGGACGGGGGCTCCTGGGGCTACCAGTGGATCAGACACCCGAAGGTAGCTGAGCATTTGGGTGGAAAAATGTCAAATCAGCAAGAGCTCTTTAACAAAATTCTCCACGTACAACATAATGATTGCTGTCTAACTAAAGAAACAGCCTTCCAATCACCTGAATCAGTAATTCCCAGGTTATGTGTAAATGAAGATTATTTCCCAACCCTTTATCTTTCTTTGTAGTAGTTGTTGCCTTTGAATCAAGACAACAACTGAATATCATGACATGTAAACTCAATGCTGAATTAAGCAAACGTGCTTACCCAACATAAAACTGAGAGGTGTAAACGATGATTACTGTCAGAGATGTCCTGACTGATAAACCTCCTGATCTTTACTTCTACGCCTGACATTACTCACCGTATTTAAGAACATCGTAAACAAATAATTGTGCCCATGGTCACACTGTGCAAATTACATAATGCACTAATGTTAGTGGTACAAACAAGGGAATCAAAGGCACCTACCAGCCCGAGGTACATATCCAAACTGTAAGAGACTGCCCAGGGCTGGACCCACATGGGTTTTACCCTCACACACTCCTCAGTTCCCCGTACACAGAACTTGACATTACACCAGCTGGGAATCTCTGCTGCCCAGAGAGGCCACGGGTGCCTGGAGCCTCAGCTGGGGTCATTTGGAGCAACTCTACTGAACTTCTGGCTTGGTATTATTTTTAGCTAGTTTTCACTCCAGAAACAGCGGATCACAGAGAAGAACAAGGTCACTAAACGTGACATGTTTGAACAGGCAGCAAATGGTGATGCAACTCTTGGAAAAATATATAAATATACTGTCACACAGAGATTAAAATCACACAGTGTTTTTTGCCTGGAGAATTTGGTTTCCGCTATTAATAATACTGTGGAAAAAAAAAACCACAGTAAAGGTAAAAAGCTTTTGGCTCTATGTTATTAATAATACTGTGGAAAAAAAACCCACAGTAAAGGTAAAAAGCTTTTGGCTCTACATTTATTGTTGATTACCTGAGATTAGCCATTTGAAATTCCTCTGAACAGACCTTTAATAACACCATAATATGTAACGTAACTTAATATCTCTCTATATGAATTACTTTCCTGCAACAGGTATGAGCTCAAAGCATCCAAAGGTCTGTAAACCTACATTAAAACAACCCCTGTAAGTTAATAGCCCGGGCAGGTGGCTCTCCAGCTCGGCACAAACACAACAGGCTCAGGCAGGTACCACCAGTACAAACACCCATTGAACTGCCTGACAGAAGTTAAATAAAGCACGTGGAAAACAGGGCATTGAATGGCTCCATACACCACACTGCACAAAAAGCTGATCTTTAAACTATTTCCATCATAACATAGCTAAAGAACCTGCTTCTAAACCAGACCCCAAACAAAAACCAGCACGGAGGTGGGTCTGGAGTCAGCCACGCTGAGTTACGTGAGCTAAGTGAGGATTTGGCTTCGCACGGTCCATTTCAAATAAACCTCACCAGAGCCTACCATCAGATACACAGATGTCATTCTAGAGTCAATATGAAATTTGTTTTTCACATCTCTGACCACCCAATAAAGCACAGGCTTCAAGTTGTACTAATTATAACAAACCTTCTGTGTAAGCTTAAGTTTAATTAGCATTACATTATCCCAGTTTATCAGGATCCCACTCTGAAGCCAATGCCGGAGTGAAACACCATGAACCAGGCTGCAGGTTTGTCTCCTATCAGTTTGCAGCAGTCTGGGTCCTGGAGGTATTCCTGGCTTGACTATTTTGTGTATGACAGAAATATAGTAATATTGGCGACACCCCAGGGAATAATCACTACTCTGTACCTCAGAGAAAAGCTGTTTAAATCACATTTTCAGAATTGCCCTGGTGTAATGGATAGGTGTGCCACTGCAAAGACTACAATTTATAAATTACTGTTTGTTTAAGGGTTTCCATAACACATTGTTCTTTTTTTGATACTGAATGCATATGCTCTATTACAAGACTTAGGGAACCCTGACATGGGGAAGGATTTATGAGCTATTATGCTAGACAAAATTAGTCCTTACATGCAAAAGCACTAAGAAGCTATCCAAACTGGAAATAAAAGTGGGGGGAAGAGGAATCAGAGTCAGGCTGGACTTTGTACTATCATTATAAAGCTAGAGCAAACAAAACTAACTGGCATTTACATCTACATCATGACCTGCAAGAATTTAACAATCTGAAGGCTTAATCTCCTACTCAGGACTTCACTGAATCATAACTATAGAATATTGGGTCAAAATACAGCTAATCTGACAGAGCAAGTTGTTGCAAGCACTTTGCTTCAGTGTAATTGAATGCAGGACAAGAAATAATCCTGACCATGAGCCGTGATGTTGCAAACAAACTCTTAGCAAGAGGCACACCATTGCAGAAGCACACAATCAATCCCAATCAACTCAATAGCTTTGTTCAATTTGTTGTCACTGGCATCAATGACAGAACAAAAAGCCAACGGTGGGACAACCAGAGCAGGAAGCCACGTCTCTGAAAGATGGTGTTTCAAAAAATACCACCGCAGCAAGAGTATTTTCTATTCTGATTAAACTCCAATCCAGAAAATTCACCATATCCTAAGTACTGGTGTTTTAGCCTCTTTCCTCCCTTCCTCATCACTGAATGAAAGATGCAGCAGAAACACAGAGTGCTCAGATATTATTGTACCTATTTTAATTTGGAGGAAAAGGAAGTAATCTGCTACTCTCCCCGCTCCGAAAAACATTAGGGATTCTGCTCACACAAAATCAAGTGGCTTCTGGTGGTGTTTTCAATTCTCCACCTTCTAGTGAAGATAACATGCTGTGGAGCTATTTTAAGAACATCTCATTCACAAAGGTCTCCAATTCAGTCTTCAGAGACAGAGATGATTTTCTTGCTGCTTCAACGTCTTTACTGGCATGACATTTGCTTCAGAGGGAGTTCATTTGCTGTTCCAACATCAAAATGGAGCAAGAGCAGCTGCCAGGAGAGGGATAAAAGGAAACACTGGTGACAAAGAGCAGCAGGGTCATTTCTGGTGCAAAGAAATGTAGAACAGAGAGAACTGCAGAACTGTCACTTTCTCCAAAAAGCCGCAGGGGATAAAGACCTCCCCTCTGCCTCCTGCAACTGGTGTTTAGCAGCAAGAAGGAAAATGAGACAGAAAGAACTAAACAATCAGGCCAAAGTCTTCAAATGGCAAATTAGGATAAACCAATGTTAAGCACCCAAGCACTGGCAGTTAAAAGCCACGCTCACGCTTCAGTTCTGCCGTGAGCAAAGAACTTCAGTAACTACTTCAGAAAACTCAAAAGAAAACACTTTTGGCGAGAAAGCACTTCAGGGTATGGAGTTCAGTGATTTGGAGGTGACAGTCTTTGGGATGAATTCAAGCCCCCATGCTCATCATGACCATCCTATCTGTGTAAAGAGCAATCCAAACAAACTCGGGGCAAAGCTGTCAACTGCAAAACCTGACCACCACAAAAGCCACACTGCAAGAGCCACAGACAGGGCTGACAGGCCAGGGAAGCGACGCAAGTGCCTGTAGAGTCCAATCTCCAACATCACAGACAGGCACTATCTTAGATGACACCATCTGTCACTTACACCAGTTGTCCCCTACCCCGTCCCTATCAGGGCAGCTCCGCTGAAGTACGGACCATTCCATCATTTTAATCACTTTTCAAAGAAACAGCCAAGTTCCCACACTGCTGCTTTAAAGACAAAGATGAGGCTCATCCTGGTCAATGTGGCTTTTTGATAGACTTACAGCCTTATTCTAGGTCATCCACTTGCTTTGACTACTTGAGGTTTTTTCCCCCCACATCTTCTTATTAATACATTGCCCGGAGCAAGACAGGGATTTCTCCCTCATCCAACAGGACAAGCAGAACCTCGCCCTCCTCTTAGATGAAGGCATATTGCCAGCCTTGCAAACTATAAGATACGAACCTCTATACATAATCAAAGCTAAAACAAAATATTCTTTCCCCCTGGTCCTCACTGGATTTTATTAATAGATTAATTTCTTCTTTTCCAGTTTTGTGGAGAAAAGGTTTTAAAGATTAAAACTCTGGAAAAGTAGTATTTGCAAAGAAAAGGACTAATATACTCCAACAGGAATTTTAATCCTATGATACTTTGTGTATATTTATGTTTATTCTGTTGCATGTTAGGACCATAGTTTATTTAGAGCATGATATTTATCTGACTAACCAAACCCCCTCCAATTCACAGGCATTAGCACCATGTTTATGACACCTTAAGGGCTTCAGCATTAGGATTTATGAATAAAATATTACCAGGGCGTTACAGAATACCAAGGACTGCATCTGCAGAGTTGCATATCAAGGTATGTGTGGGCTTGTCAAACACCCACTTGATAAATTATCAGTAGTACAGCTTGGAGCACCCTTTTTGTGGAGGTACAAATCTGAGCAAGCATTTCATTATGGTTTGTTCCACTTCACGTTAGTTTTTCTGCATTAAAGGGTTACAAAAACCCTACATGTCCAAGCACTGAAGGACATTTATGCACAATAGTCAGCCATGAAATCAAAAGACCTATCCTAATATTCAGAGTCCTGTTTTCAGTTCGTTCTTTTGGTACAAGAAAAACCCCACAAAGCCTATATTTGGAACTGGACCATAACATTTTATGCTGTACAATATGATACAATCTTTTGTGGAGAATTTTAAGGTTAAAGCACTGCTGAGGAGCAAAGAAATAGAACTGGCTGGTTACAAATTGTCTGCCATCCCTTGCTCTTACGCCAAGTACCGTAAAAAAAATTATACCCCTGCAAAGCAAGTGGCAAATCCAAGGGGAAAACAATTCTCTCAAGAGTCAGAAAAGACTACACTCTACACAGCATATTTTCAAAAAGGGACAAGTCTTCACCCTGAGTTTATAACACACAGTATTTACTTTTATATGTAGTTTTTAAATGAGCTCAGCTAAGAGCACCTGACAAATCTAGCCCTACTAGCATTCCATGTTTGATACCCGAACAGCAGACTTGCTATTGCTTTACAGCGCTCTTACTGTGAATAAAATACTAAGAGACAGATGCACGTCCCCATGAATAACTGTCTTCACCAGTAAGAGATTAGAATTGATCTGTCATGTTTCATCAGCAGCAGTCACCAATCACATATCTCCATGCATCACTGGGGATGACAAATTAGTTGCAATCAAACCGGGCCTTGGCAGGACCTAGAGCAGTGTCTCTACCTGCCCAATTTAAATTACTATGGGTAGATTTTGCCAACTCACTCATCAAGCAGCTCAAGCTCATTGAGCTACTCACAAAACACTCTTGCTCAAAGTTCCCCGAGCCAGCTCTGTAACAAGCTCCCCCTCAGCAGCCTTATGCTGCTTATTCAGAGGCGTTAAAATACAAGCAGCACTGACTTACAGTAGTACACAATTAATTCATTCTTCAGCCCTCTTAGGAGGAGGAGTGATTCATATGACTAATAGGTAACACTTTCAAGTAAAAGAGCTGTACTGGGGAAACAAAGGGTCAATTAGAAGTTGAGCACTTTGTCTGCAAGTTTCATGTTTCCTTAAGAGGTTTTTTTTCCTTAAACAACCTCTGTGTGAATCAGCAGGATCTTGTCCCCTTTAACTTTCACAGCATGAAGAGCCTAAAAAGCAGCTGAACCGACAGTCTTATGCTCCACAGCATGACGGGGCCAGGGACAGCAAATAAAAGTGTTTATAGAACTAGTGTGGCAGGAAGATATACTCATTAGGGTGGGCTGTTCAGCACTGGCATCTCACATAACTCCATATGGATACGCAAGATAAGTGTTTCCCTTCAGCTGCCATGGCTGGATGGTCACACTCAAAGAGTTGTGGTCAACGGCTCCACGTCCAAGTGAAGCCCAGTGATGAGAGGTGTTCCTCAGGGGCCAGCACTGGGACCAGCACCGTTTAACATCTTTGTCAGCAACATGGACAGTGAAATTAAGGGCACCCTCAGCAAGTTTGCCAACGACACCAAGCTGATGTTTGGTTTTTAGAGAGAAATACGGAAAAAACAGCCCACAGTACTTGATACTGTGCCATCAGGTATTTGTTGGTAAAACTTCAGCAATGCAGCTGCACTATTAGAGTTATGCTGGTCACTTTTGCCCCTGTGCAGACAGGAACCAGCTGCAGAGAAGGAAAGGCTGTCAGCTCACCCGTAACAAGGGCACATACAAATCCACTGTCATTTGTTTCCTTTGGAACTGCTCACGCAGTTTAATTATATGAAAGAACCTCCTTATCACTATCACAGTTAATTCAACTCTCCTACCATCACAGGTAAGGCTCTGATAACTACGAGTTTTTGTGAAGTAAAACTATTAATCAGGTACAATTAATAGTCACACAAGAAAGTACAAATTGGCCAGTTTTAACATTTTCCATTATTCTCTGTTTTAGGGAGCACTTATGCTTAAAAAAAATATCACATTGCACTGCATTCCCCAAACACACAGATGAATGCTGTAAGTGAAGTAAACCAACAGACTACTAAAGATATTTTGGTGCTAGGTTAACATGTACTTCATGAATTCAGTGAAATTCAGTGAAATTCACATTTGACACACAACTTCCGAGTGTGTTAACAAGCATGCTGCAGAAAAAATAACAGACTTGGACAGCTGGTTACTAGCTAGCTGCTGAAAAGGTCTAAAATCTTGTTATTTTCCCCTCCTGAGGTACGGGCCCTCACCCCGCCGTGTGCGCTGTGCTCCCCCCCCGGGCCAGCACCCTGCACCTGCTCCAGGCCTCTGGGGTAAAGCCTTCAGGCTTCACCTTCAGGTCTTAAAACCGAAACTAACAAACAAAACCACCCACAAACAAGAAAAAAACCCCAAAACACCTCATCCTCTCCTCAAAGCACCCACCCCCATTTTGAGGCCAGCCCCGCCTTTAAAACACATTGGCCTTTCCGCCAGGTGAGCTCGGCGAGCTTCTTTGTGAGAGACGGCTTCAGTAATCACCTTCCTCTGGAGAGCGGGGCCGGGCCCAAAACATCTACCTCAGGAAACCCAGCTCCTCGTCCCTGGCTCGGCCCCGCGCTCACCCCGGAGGCGATAAGACCCTCCGGGACCCGCCGCCGCCCCTGGGGCGGACGGACAAGGGCCTGGGCAGGGCCGCGCCGGCCGACAGGCACAGAGACCCCGGGCACAAAGACCCGCCACCCCCGGCCCAGCTCCGCTCCCGCTGCCTCAGCGCCCACAGTGACCTCCGCGCCCCGCCGCGTCCTCATCTCACCCCGCCCCGGCAGCGCCATTGGCCGCTCGCGCCGCCCATCACCCGGCTCCCCGCCTCCCATTGGCCGGCTGCCCACCTGCGGCGGGGAGAACCGGCGACTTCCGCGCCCGTCACCCGGCACCTCACACTGCGGTTTGAAGGGGGACTCCTTTAACGCCCCTCGCCGCTCCTCACTGGTGAGGAGAGCTGTCAATCACGGCGCCGCCTCGCCTCCGAGTACTATTGGCCCAGTAACCCCTTTTCGGGCTTTCGTTTCTCCTCATTGGCTAATTGGATCGGATAGGCGGCTGCGATTGGGCAAAAAGAAGGTCTTGGGGGCGGGACTCGGCTCAAGAGGAGAGTCAATTGGCCGGTAGACTGGAGCGGCACCGCGTGATTGGCAGGAGAGGTGAGGAAGGCGGGGCCACCCGAGGTGAGGGTTGTGTGAGGTGAGGGAATCTCGCGGGGTCTCGCTGGCTCTGGGCGCGGAGGCGCGCGGTGATTGGGCGGCGGGGGTCAAGGGGGCGGGACTGAGTCAGGGAGTCTCCGCAGCGGCCGAGTCCTATGGGCCGGCCGCGCTGGGTCCCGCGCGGTGATTGGGTGGGGGCGGCTCTCGCGGAGCCTGGTGGGCCGGGTCCGATTGGCTGCGGGCGGGT